GAGTTTGAAGCGGCTGCGGCGGAGGTGGGCGTGGATTTTGTTGCTGGTCAGGCAGGCGCTGGGCCCGGAGAGGGGGTAGGTGAGGCCGTGTGGGTGGGCGGACGAGGAGAGGGATGCGGAGAGGGCGAGGAGGTAGTTGGATGCGAGGCCGTGGATGGATTGGGATGGGTTCTCCGGGAGCGGGGCGGAGGAGACGAGGACCGTGATGGATGGTTTGCGTGGGGCGAGGACGCTGCTGGACGAGATGGAGTAGTAACGGGGCTGAATTGGGGCGAGAGTCTCGATGAGATAGGAGAGGGGGAGGGCCGTCCACGGGGTATCGGGGCAGGCGAGCTGCAGAAGCCGGCCGAGGGTGAGGTGGGTGTGGGTGAGGAAGCTGGCGTAGGCGGTCTTGTCGCGACCGAGCTGAAGAAGGAAGTCCTTGGCTGCTGGTGTCGGGGCGAACTGGGCGAGTCCGAGGAGAGTGTCGCGGTTGACGGGGGCACAGATCTCCAGGTAGTAGCGGAAGAGGGCAATGGGGGTCGTGGGGGTGGGCACTTTCACTTTAGTTGCTGGGTCGAGCGATGTGATGCTGATGGGTACCTCGTGGCGAGAAGGGGGAAGTCCCAGGGCGTTGAGGAGGATGTCCACTTCGGCATCCGGATTGCCCGGCCAGACGGCCAGATGATCACCGGTCTTGTATGTGAACTCGGGTTGACTGCTGAGATCGAGTTCGATGTGAAGACAGTGGCGGTCGGCGGAGGCGAAGAGTTCCCTGGAGCTGGTGATGTCGATTGCCCGTACGGGGGAGCATTGAGCAGCGGATTTGGACGAGTCGCGGCGGTTGTCTGGTTCCCCGTGATGAAGGTCGATGGGCTCGAGCGACTCGTCTTCCTGGACGGACAGCGTAGGCATGTATTTGACTTCGCCTTCCTGAAAACCCAGCTGCTGTTTGAACGTGGCGAACAGATCCTCCTTCCAACTCATGAAATCCTCTTGTGTTGTGCCCTCGGCATCGTTCGCCTTGCCGACGGGCATCAACGACCTGGCCCCAAACCGATCCAGAGCCTCCACGACGACGTCGACGACCCGATTGTAGAACTTGTAGTTGCTGTTGCCCAGCCCGAAAGCGGCGTAGCGGAGGTTGGGCAGGGAGACATTCTGGGTCTTGTGAATCCAATCCCAGAACTCGGCGGTGTTGTCGCTGGGATCGCCCTCGCCGTAGGTCGAGAGAATGAAGATAGCCAGCTTGGAGTCCGGGATCATACTGACAGAGTCCGGATCGTAATCGGATAAGTCGGCTGTCATGGCCTCCTGGCCGAACCGCAGCGAGACCTCGCGAGCCAACCGGTGCGCAAAGCCTTCGGCCGTGCCGGACTGAGAGCCCCAGAAGACCACGATGTTCTTGCCCGTCTCGTCCATTTTCTGGGCAATGTTACGGGTCTGCTTGTTGACATTGGAGCCAGCCGCGCCGCCATTCTTCAGTTGCGGCCGTTCGTACACCGGATGGAGATAAGGATCGGACTGGTCCCAGAGGATGCCTCGGGAGACATAGGTTCCCCCAATGATGCTGAGGACAGTCAAGGCAGCATAGTCGGCTACACTTGCAGGGGTGATTACTTTGAAGAGTTCCCGCAGGATCTCGGGCGAGTGCGAGCTCCACTGAGAGAAAAGCGACATAATGCAGTGGTAGACAATGAATACAGTCACTTGTCAATGGTCATTACTGGGAGACATTCGGAGGAAGCCCAGATATATGCACATCAAAGACAACAGGGTCATCGCCACGCATGGGGTAACTTTCCTTACGAGACCAGCTCTCCAAAATCGCAGGAATAAACTATGACCCAGCTAACACAGACCATTGCCTTCATCTCATCCGACGGCAATCAAACAGCGTCTTCATCGCGCAAGTATCGGTCTTTGACCGTGCATTGCAGCGGGGCACAGAGCAATAAACCAAGAAGGCAGGAATCCGCGTCCAAGGTAGGAGAGGTGATATCACAGAAGATTGACAGCACATCAGACAGGAGTTCTGTACATTCCCTAAATGGAAACATTCCCCGCCGGGGAAAACTCCCCTCGTCGGCTCCGGCCTCAGGCACTGACTTCACGCCCCCCAGCCTCAGCCTCAGATTCAAGCCCAGAACCAGACCCAGAGTCAGCCTGCGACTGCGACTCCGTTGATATCGCCCTATTTCCCCTTTTCGGGCGTCCAGACCGCTCCGCATCTTCCACATACTCCATCTTGACCCGCGGGTTCTTTGCGGGGTCGAATCCCCGCGCTTTGGCGCGGGGGATGATTTCTTGGACGCTGCGAAGGGGGATGTCCAGCCCTGCTGCTATGGCCTTTGTTTCGACGCCGAAGGCTGCGAGGGAGAGGACTTGGATGCGGAGTTCGATTGGATGGAAGCCCATTTTCTTATTGTGGAGGTATCTTGATGAGGGAGGAATGAGGATGAGGATGAGGTTGACGGAGGACGAGGGAATTGTGTGGGATTATCTTTTTTCGTACTAGTGGACGAGTACCTAGTTCGCACTATGCACGATATGTACTACTATGCAGGCTACGCTATGCTATCGAGTATCTTCAATGCAAAGAATCAATGGAATATCATGGCGATGTTAATCATGTCTACCGTCTCCTCCACACCTTCACAGGCATATCGCCCAAGATCAAGTTCATCGTCTCCAACCGCTTCAACTCCCAACCAGGATGAGGCAGGGCAAACTCGTACCGGTGCACCAACGAGGCAATCGCCTTGGTCTGCTCCAGGTAAGAGATATTCCGCCCGATACATGACCGCGCGCCCGCAGAGAACGCCACAAAGTACGGCTGCAGCGCCTTGCCTTCCTCTCCCAGCCACCGCTCGGGGATGTACCGGTCCGCCTGCGGGAAGACCGTCTCGTCGCGGTGCGCGACCAGCGCCGAGATGCTCACCGAGGTGTTGCCCGGTACCCACTGGCCCAGGATCTCCATGCCTTCGGGCGGGGTCTGGCGCGGGAGGCCGTGCGAGGTGGGCGGGAAGATGCGGAGGGATTCGTCGAGGCAGGCGCGGAGGTAGGGGAGGTGCTTGACTTTGTCGTAGGGGGCGATGATCTCATCGTCGTCCAGGACGGCGTCGACTTCTTCGCGTAGTTTGGCCAGACAGCGCGGGTTTTTGAGGAGTTGGTACATGACGTTGGCGATCGCGATGGCGGTGGTCACGCTGCCGGCGTTCATCATGATGTTGACCTCGGCCACGATCTCGCCCCATTCCAGGTTGTTCGCATGCCCGTTCTTGTCCTCCATCAGCGCCTGGAAGAAATCGTCCAGTTTCTCGCCGGCCTCATAGCGACGGAGGCGTTCGGATGCTCGTCGCCACACGATGTTGTCCCAGTGGTCTGCCGAGCGCTGCATCCGCCCGAAGAACGGGATGACGTTCACCAGCCTGTTGAGCACCGGGTACCATTCGTAATTCCACAGAATCAGCGACTGCTTGCGGGCGGTCGGATACAGTGCCTCGCGAAGGGGGACCTCGTACGCCGTCCCGTCTTTTCTCTCGGCAGTGCACACGTCGCTCCCGCTGTCCAGGAAGCCCAGCTTCTCCGAGAGACCAATGTCGGCAATGGCATCGAGAGTGAAGTAGTTGGTCCACGCGCGAAAGTCCACAGTCAGATCCGCAGGATCCGGCGCCGCCTTGCCCTCCACCACAGCCTGCGAGGGCGGTTTCGTGCAGACCCGGTCAAAGTGCGCGATCAGCCGCTCGAGCTTGTCGCTGACTTTGTACTCCCACGTCTCCAGGTTCTTGAGCGCATACGCCGAGGAAAGCACCTTGCGCTTGCGCGCGTGTTCGGGCTTGTCGACCACATCGGCGAGATGGTAATGTGTGCCTGCCGTGACAATGTACGACGGATCCTTGGCACACTTGGTGTTGTGCCCGTAGATGTCCTTGATGGCACGTACGTCCCCGTATGACAGCGTGTTGGGTCCGGTGCGGAGGACGGGGTGTTTCCGATGTAGCTTCATGAGCTCCATGGAACGAAAGCCTCGGGATGCGAGCACCATGAAAGGAATGGCAGACATGCCTGAGAAGAGGGAGAAGTTGGGATATCTCCGGAGGCCTAACAAGTTAGCTCGTTGCCATAAGAATAAGACCAGAACAGGTTTCTAACTCACCTTTTGGGTCCCGAATGTACTCCACAAATGGATAGGCAACGAAATAGATAAAGAGGAGGAGGCCCAGGATGCATGCATACGGGGCAATTGTGAAAAGTGACCACATGTTGCGGACTTGATGGTCGCGGGCTGTGCTCAACAGAAGAAGTATAGACTATAGTCTAGTAGCCGGAAGATCAGGTTCATGACATCGTAGTAGACAGGCCAGAGGCTCTTATATCTTCGAAGACAAGAAAGACCTATAATGAGACCTTTGAGTAAGGGAACCGAAGATGGAGGGCTGCGGACTGTCATGGCAATCGCCATGTCATCAGCATAGAATAGTTCCTCCTACAAGGACTCTGATCTGCCATGCATGTGCGGAGAATATTTCCTCTTCGGCTTGCCACCACGATATGCTTCGGGGCAACCAAGGAACATCAGATAGAGCTGACAAGTGCGAGGATCGGTTATTGATTTCATAAGAGGAGTTCATTCCGCAAGCCATGCCGGTATCTGATGTCTGATAGCCGGATGTTCCCTGCGATGAATGCACTGAACAGTATGGAGTCAACATGCAGATCGCTGGGGAATCAGTGCGGGGAAACCTGGGGATCATGTTGCGTAGAGTCTCGTTCGGCTTGATGATATCTGTCGATTCTCAAGTGTGCTCGGCTTTGTTGACGAGGTTTTGGCGTGAGGGTTATGGATGCAACCTATATAAATGCTTTGACCTCACTGTTCAGTCAGTACCATCCTAGCTCTCTATACCAGTGTGCCCAGTATACCGACGTAGATTGGCCGAAATGGATTCCGACGCCGACTCGATGAAGCCGTCCATGATGAGCATCTTGGAGACGAGAATCCAGATGACTCGATCGAGATGACCGACCCGGAAAAGACTGTGTGGCTAATTGCCTGTACGGTGTCCATGGGGGATTCCTGTTCGGTTAGTATCCACACCGATATGCCATGGAGCTCAACCTAACCAACTGTAGGCTACGATACTGGCGTCATCTCCGCTGTACTGGTCAACTGGAACAGACCTAGGCAAAACCCTATCCTCTAGCCAGCAAGAGTTGATCACTTCCATCACCTCCGGAGGCGCGCTGATCGGGGCGATTCCTGCCCTGATGCTGGGCGCCGCAATGCCACGGTGCCCCGAGACTCCTCGTCAATTAATCTCGCATAGCCGGGTGAAGAGGCACGGAAAGTGGCCACCGATCAGCAGGTAGATGCAAAAGCCCGGTTGATGCAGCATTCCATCGAAGAAGCGGCGGTGTCTGTCGCAGAGAGGAGCCTGTGGTGGCAGATGAAACAGCTCTTCACAGTATGAGAGAACCTGCGGGCTCTCGTCACTGCCAGCATGGTCATGGCCAGTACGTACCCTCGTATCTCTCACCTCCACAGCGCTAATGGGACTGCAGTATCCCAGCTAGGCGGTTTCAACACCCTCATGTACTATTCGGCCACGCTCTTCGCGATGGTGGGCTTCAACAAACCCGCCGCAGTGTCGATGGTGGTCGGCGCGACGAATTTCCTGTTCGGATTCGCCAACTTTGCATTGGTAGACGCGTGGTCCTCCTGATTACCGTCCTCGGAATGGCAAGTCCCTCTCTCTAGTGGTCGCCGCCATAGCCTTCCACTGGATCCCCGTCAACCACGATCTCACCGTCGTACAAACGCAACACATGAGCTGGGCAAGCATCCTCCTCCTCGTGACCATCATCATCTCGTCGACGTTTCTGTCCATGATGAAGGCCATGACGCCGAGCGGGGCCAGACGCTCGTGGATCATGGATCCCATTGACGGGACGGCAGCCTTCATCCAGGGCCAGCAGTATGCCGTCTCCGTGGCGCTCGTCGAGGGCGGCGAGCAGAAGGTGGGCGTGGTGGGGTATCCGAATCTTGCGTTCCGCAGTGCGCGGGTCGGTGAGGATGACGTCGACAGGGAGGGTGACGGCATGATGCTCGCTGCTGTCAAGGGCCATGGCGCCTGGACGCGGCGATTGACACGTTCGCGTCTTGAGCCGGCAGAACCGCTCTGGCCGGCTCGCTCGGCGGGAGACGGCGCGCTTCGCCTTGCGGACAGTCTGGCGAGCCCGTTCATCGCGGTGAAGAAGCATCTCGCTGTGCGAGATGGGTTAGGGATCGCGGAGGAAACGGTGACGGATCTCTGGTCCATGCAGGTCAAGTACGCTGCGCTTGCCATTGGGGCTTGCGATGTGATGATTTGGATCCCGAAGGAGAGGGATTTCCATCCTTATGTCTGGGACCACGCTGGTGGGATGCTGGTGTATGAGGAGTCGGGGGGCAAGATTACGGATCTGCGAGGGAAAGCGTTTGATTTTGGCATGGGGAGGCAGCTCAGCGAGAATGTGGGTTTGGTAGCGGCGCCCCCAGAGATTCATGCCAGGGTGTTGGAGCTTGCTCGTCAGGTTTTTGATGATGAGAGTATATAGTCACTGACATCCGCAAGCTCAATCCCGGAGAATAGTGCAATAGAACCACCTCGGTGTCAGTGTCAATCGATAGTATATGAAGCGCGAAGTCCTAATAAACTTACATATAAGCACGTCTATCTCACATCTATGCATCTGGTCAACGTGCAGTGTATCAAGTTGATTCCAAGCCATATCCCTGTCCGATGTACAGTACTCTGCCGCTATACGGACTGCATGCCTCCTTGTTCTGTTCATATCCAAGGTTGATCACAAGCTCAAGAACAGGTACATCTGCTGTATACACTCTACATTTACAGTACTCGACGTCGACGCCGGCATCAAAATAAGGTTGACTACATCGCTTTGCATAAAGGCATAAGGACTTGTGCAGCATCAGTGTACGGTGCACAAGTTGAGCTGAGATACAGGGAAATGGAGTACAATGAGAGGGATACTATCAGCCTTCGAGATCGAAACTCAGCAGTTCGGCTATGGAAAAGACGGTGAGGACAAGGTTGCGGTCAATGGACTGTTGATAGTAGTGGCTGGCTGGGTTGGATGAGCAAGGAAAAGATTTACATTCCTGCGGTGGTGATCTGGGCATGATGCTGATGTCTTGAAGTCTTCGTTCTGTATGCAGATACACGTGTATACCTGGGTGATTCATGCACTGCCGAGTCATGCAGAGGATCGAGGTAGCACATACTGCCTAATGGCGCAGTAAGTACATATTGGGCTGTGCTGTACACAGTACTCTAAGGTAGTACAGATGTATACAGAAAAACACGGCTACGTCATGCACTGTGTGCAATATTTCTTGACAGATGATGGATCATTTCAGCGATGATTATCACTTTGGCTACTGTAAGTCTGTAAGTGTATGAGACAAAGTAGATCATGCTTGTCATATCTTGAGCATGAACAGACCGACTGGTGACCGCCGCGCCTTCAGAACCTCTGCATTGGAGATCACGAGTATCAACTTTGTCATGTGCAGCACTCCGTAGTGAATATCCCATTTGATATCTCCAACTCCCGCAAGCGAGCCACTCCGGAGTCAGCGAACACCTCAACAGTCGACAAAGGACCAAAGCCAAGGCAATCAAAAATGATGATCTGGCAAGCGGGGATGGACGTGGATCGGTTCAACATCATCTATCACGGAGTACATCCACCCTGGTCCCTCAACACTCGCATATGCACCAACGGGTCGTTGCAGCTGAAACCTGGATCCCGCCATTTGCCATAGCGATTTTTGCCAGAATCAGATAGCTAAGAATGGCCAGACCTGGCAGACCCTGCTCCACTGGGGTAATTACTGTACTATGTCCGGTACTAGGGAGCAGGGTAAGAATCATTCCCTTTCCAGCCAGCGCCACGCCATCAAGCAAGGGGGATGGCGAGGGCGAAGGGGGTATCGGCGGTCAGGCCATGAATCGATCATTGATTGATTATTTGGCTACCATAGTTTCTGACTCGGTAATACTAATGATACAATCATTTCTGGATGATACCTGACGGACTTGACCGTTGTTGTGACCAGGTGCCAAGTGGTGATTCTTGACCAGTTGGCGGACGTGAGTAGTCTCGGGCCCGATTCAAGATCAGTTGTTCTTTTCCTTGATTCAGCTAGTCCCCTCATTGCCAGTATTTTATTATTAGACCTTCTCCTCTACCCAGTGACATACACATCCTGGATAAGAGAGGCTCACGGTTCGCTGCATCACGGGTGACCCGTGTCCCCTCGTCGACTACGTGGTCGCTCCCACAGCCAGTCGATCCGCCTCTGACGCCCCTCAAACATGTGCAGGGCCAGGATGAGCGATCTGTTCCACCAATGGCTGTGGTTCATTTTTCGTCACCTTGCCCCTCTATTCTCGTTGAGTAGATAGTACCGTAGATACTAAGAGCCTGGCCACACTCCGGATAACGCTCATCTGGATGAGGACGATCTGAGGAAGTCCCTCCGAGTCCAAGGAGGTCCGTGATGACTGCGATTGTATGTTCAACTCTACCTTCAGGGATTGGCGCAATGTCATCGACAGTATGCTCACACACCCTGGTCATTTGTCGATGGCTTGTTGCACAGATATTCTACGTTCTCCGTGCGGACCTAGGGATTTGGATTTGTCCAAGTCTCAAAGTCAAGACGGAACAGGGATTCTGCTTTGTGTGGTTACACGCCAGAGATCATCCTAGCGATTGATCCTGGCAGGGATGGAAGATGTCGGATCTTATTTCATTAACTCAATACATTACAAGGGTACAGCACGAAAGGAGAGGACTCGTTGAATGAAGATAACGGACCCTAGGAATATATGTGTCGCCTGACAAGTGAGATCCTTCTGTCCTAGACCCTATTGACCACCAAAGCTATTCTCTGCATCCTGCAAAAAGGCAGCTACGGGATGCAATGTAAGGTTAATTACCTGCAATGCACATCATGTATAATCACCAGTTACTATCCTAATCCCGTGGCCCTCGATGCTTAGCAGTCAGCACTTCCTGTAGGACTAGGCTGTAGACTGTAGCAGCAAGCGCCAGGAGCTGAAGGCTAAAGCTGGAGCTGATACTCCGCACAGTCAGACCGTTGGCGCTGATAATCTAACCCCCATGCATCATCAACCTATCAAGACAGCGGATCACTTCGGAGCAATATCTACGGACTATCGCGCGCGCCACCAGGATCAGCAAGACAGGAGCCTTGTAGATCATTGGTTCCTCGGCGTTTCGTTTCGGTCAGGGGCGGAGAATATGACATGGACATGGACATGGCTGACTCGAGCATGGCGAGAGATCACCAGGGTAGGTGAAATCGGCCCTGTCGATGGTCAAATGTCCAGCGGAGATATTCTCGGAGTGCTTGCATGGGTGCATCCCTGTGACTGCTGGTGGAGGTTACACCTTCGTTCTCGCGAAGATTGAAAAACTCGAGGCGATGCGATCACCTCGGAACTTGCCATGAGGCACATAGGCTGGGTATTCCATCCAGGCCGGATTCTAGAAGGCACAGAGTGGCACAGCATACAAAGGTTGCACATGTCGAGTTTCAAGATGCTGATTGCTGACTGTATCTGTACGGAGACGGAGGACTTGTTGACAATCTTTGTCCTGTGGATTAGACTCTGCTGGCAGCTGTGATTGGCGAGGGAAATTCCGATACTGCAAGTAGGACGGTATGAACCTATCCATAGCAGGGGTACCTAGTGCCTATGTCTCCGTAACATCCCTGCCATGTCACACCGGTCACGAACGATATCAGTCCGGTGTAACGTGGAGGGGTTCTATTCGTGTATGACTGCCAGAGTCTATGAGAGACTAAAGGAAGGACAGAGCACCGAGGAAACAGTACCCGAAGTTACTCTCTAGATACATACAAGTTGCAAAAGTAGAGCCGATTCCTTTCTGCACTGTACCTGCTTCATGCGGATACGGAGTGCAGTAGACCACGGGGTATAGGAGTAATCCTGGGTAAATTCCTGCAGGATGCAGATTGCAGAGTCAAGAACTGCTGTCCTGTCCTTGGCTGCGAGCTAAACCGAAACGTCGCTTCTAGGCCCAGGCCGAGAAAGATAGTTGGTTTCGCTAGCTTCGCTGCGTTCGTTCTTGGTCTTGGATACGGAGCAGTAAGATAGGTTACGTGCGGATGTTGGAGTGCATGGCAGCTGCAAGGTACAGCCGTCGCTACTGTGAGTACTCGGAGCAGTCTGATTTAGTCGATTTCCTTCCCCGTTGCTTAAATTAGTGGCATTGATGGCCATTATGCTTGGTGATCAATAGACAGCGTGAGCCTGATTGATATCATGATTGGCCCGATAGTAATCTGGCTAAGGCCTACATACAATAACTCCTGACTCATGAGTAGTGATGCTCGAGAGGACAGATTGAGCTGCGCCGATTTAACCCGCTCGTTGCCTACGGAGTACGGAGAGATAATAAAGAAACCAGGAACTGAGACCAGTCAATCAAACCATAAAGAAAGCCCCACATTTTCCAGGCCATGGTCATGAAGAACCAGTCCAACAAACTTTTGATTGGCTAATCACCATCCTCCAGAGCCACCAAGTTAGGCCTGCAATTTGCAGGGTTGCAAGCATTGGCCTTGACTGATTGCCAGTGCATTTGCGGATTCCGTCCTAGCGCAATGACCAGCGGCAACTCGGCAGATGACTGGATGACATTGGTCCTTAGGCCTTGACACCTGGCACCAAGACTACCTAGAGCCAAGACTAGACTCTCGACTAAAGCCCTGGCCGTCTAAAGATCCAGGCGGTTGAGGCTGGCTTTCATCCATGGTTGTGCTGCGGAACCTAAAGCATCCAGCTAGTTTGGCTAATGAGTTAGCGAGCGGGGTCAGAATTGACTGCTTTTGTTCAAAAGACTCCGCAGGCGCCTATGCTCGATCCGATCAGTAGATGGGAACCTGTGATTGGACCTGTCCCTACTCATCTCCAATGTTTCATGGAGCAGTTGACCCCAGCAAATGGATCATACGATGATGAGCTTACAAAGCTCAAACGACCTTAGAGACTTGGAGTATGGACTAGGAATAGGAGCTACAGCACCCCACACGGATCTGCTGTATGTACTGCGGCTGCGGGAGTCGGGCCGTCGGTAACAGTCCGCAGCATGTCTGCCATGACCACAGTAGATCTTCATCACAATGATTCATCGATCAATTTGCCATGTTGAAGGCAATCTAGAGTCTGTCAATAGTATCGCTTAGGGAGGTTGTAGTCCACAATGGGTTGACCCAGAGGCAGAAACCTGCAAGGTAGACTTAAGCACATGGCGTCAACCATGAGCATATAAAGTCGAACAAGATTTATGCACATACATTCGACATGCATCGAACTGGCACAATTCCTTGCACCGAGTGCATAAGCATTACTAGATGCTATGCCTTAATCTCAAGGCAAGCAGAAACGTGGAGA